ACCAAGCCTGCAGTGCCACCCTCCGCAGGGAAAAACAGAGGCAGGACGGGAAGGAAGGAGCTGCAGCGCTTCTCTCCGAACTGCACAGCTGGTTCCTGCAGACCCTGCAGAGTGCGTGGAGCAGGTGCAGGCCCGGCTGCAGCTTGTGGACTTGGCCGGCAGCAAGTGCATCAGTGAGCAGAGGCTGTAGGTGTTTCCTGGGGGGGTGGACACAGGCACTGCAGAAGCCCGTGATCCGAAGGAGCCGGACCTGCCACAGGCCGCCCGGGAAGCTCTGGGCGAGCAGGGCATTTCCCCTCCACAGAGGAGTTCCAAATCCCCGTTACATTCTCAGGGATTGGTTCTCCTACCCCGGCAACCCAGGAGTTGTGTTCCTCACACTGGCCCTCTGGGAAGAGAAAACCCGAGTTCCCAGCAGGAGCTTGCTTTGAGCCATGAGCAGGGCCTTCAAAGACCTTTGCTCTAGCGCCTGTCCTGTCCCGTCCCGTCCACAGGCCTCCCCTCTCTCTACCTGCCCGAAAGCCGCTCCTGCCAAGGAGCCGGTTGTGCTTTTCCTGTGTCCTTTCTTAGTGCAAATGGTGATGGTGCGTGGTAGTCCCTGTCCTGTTCCAGGAGTGTCCGGAGCCACCGGGGCGGCCCTGAGGGAGACAGTTTGCATCAACCGCAGTCTTGCGGCCCTGGCAAATGTCCTGGGAACCTTGTTGGAGTGCCATGGCCACGTCCCATACCAGAACAGCAGACCCACCCACCTCCTTCAGGACTGCCTCCGTAACGCTTTCCGCGAAATGCCCCAGGATGGGGACCCTGTACCCCAGGACACGTGCACACATGTCCAGCCTGCATGTCCTTGAGGGCCACCCATTCCCCCTGCTCCTCCCACCCCCTCCTCTCCCACGGTCTCGGTGGCCATTCCCCTGTGCCATCACGCCTCGGTCTGGTTGCCTGCTTGTTTGGTCTGTGTGTGACTTGCCTCCCGGTGGGGGGTCAGTGTCTCAAGGGTGGCAGCTCTGGCCTCTCTCTTCACCAGGGGGGCCCCCAGGGTGACTGAGGATCTCCGGGCTGCTGCTGTGCACGTGGCCTGGGGCCCTCCAGCCGGGTGGACCTGCTCAGGCCGCCAGTTCCTCCGGTGTTTTTGGGGCAGGTGCCAGAGCCCGGATGCAGCAGATGAAGCGTCGATGCCGGGTGGGGCACAGGCGGCCCCTCAGGGGAGACACCCAGCTGCGGCCAGATCTGGGCTTGGCAGTTTGGGGGAGCTCAGTTAGTGCCCCTTCCCCCACTCAGACTCTGGACTGGTTCAAAGGGAGGACCCACCTGAGGAAGCATCACGGCTGCAGAGTGGCCTCTGCTGGGGCCAGGCTTCCTGACGCTGAAGGTGCAGGCAGAGTTCCCCAGAGGCAGCCCTGGGCCCTGCAGGCCCTGCCTGGAGAAAGGCCACAGCAGGCTGGCAGGGGTGGCAGGGGCACATGGCCACCACAGTGGGAGCTCCTCTTTCCTGAAAGGGCCACCCTGAGAGGTGGTGGAGGGGCTGCTAGTGATTGGGACTCAGGGGGCCGGAATGTTCCAGGCACTCTCCCTGTCTCTCATTGTGGGGTGTTTCCCCTGTCAGGGCCAAGTGGCTTCCTCCACATGGTGAATAGCGGGGCTGTTCACTGGGTCACATGTTTAGATTCTGCCTCTAAGAGACCATGTGTCATTCTTGGATTCCAAAGCTCACAGCCCCCACAGAGACACCGCGTGGCCTGGGCCGGGTGTGCAGCCCACCCATGAGCTCAGAGGTGGCACCGTGGGGCACACAGCGCCCGAGAGCCAGCAGGTACCTCGTGGAGCCTGGGCCCCAGCCTCTGGGGTCTGCACTGCCCCTCTTAGCTATCCCTTCCTTCTTTGTTGTTTGTGGTTTCCATCTGTACTGCTTAGCCATCGCTACTGGTCCTGAAAACAGGAAGAGGCAGAATTCCCCCAGAAGGACAAGCCCTGGGATCACGACTCCTGCCAGTGGGGCCCGAAAGAGCCGCAGAGCCATGGGCCATGAGCAGCCAGCATGGGCACAAGGGAGGTTTGGAAAGAGCAGCCCTGGGGGGCCGAAAGCGCGCCGCAGGGTGACTGTCAGACTCACTGTAGGGCTGACTTTTCACCCCTGTAATTCCCGGGACACAGGAGGGAGAGGAGAAGGCCTGCGGCTTCCCCAGGTGAAGGGTACTAGTGATCAACGGCTGACCCGCCGGGACCCAGCGTCCCAGGAGCTGGCTAGACGCGGCCACTTTCCCGCTCGGGCGCCGGGTGGCCACTCTCTGCAGCCGCGCATCCCAGCCCCGGTCGCTAGCATTTGGGCACTTCAAGATGCCGCTCTTCATTCCGGCTTGCATGTGTTTCTTCTTGTTTAAAGGAGGCGATGCGAAGCTGCTGGTGGTTCTGTGCGTGTCTCCCAGCCAGAGGCACCTGGCGGAGGGGCTGTGGGCGCTGTGCTGTGGAACCCATGCTCGGCAAGTCCAGCGAGGCCCAACCAGAAAGAGGCAGCCCAGCTCCCTGGTGGAGGGGAAGATGTGGCCGGATTGAATGCATCAATGAGCTTTCCTCCCAAAAAATGTGTTTCTTGTCATTGCTTTATAATGCATATGTGCACAGATATAAACAGGTTTGATGTGGACTCTATACACCTGGTTTTATTGCAGAGCACCCTCACGAACGTGGATGGGACCTCTGACCCCCACCAGACCAGCAGGCGGGGGC